TCAAACACGACGACGACATCCAAAACGATGTGATTAATTGCAACAATAATAATATGATTGCAAACTTAAAGACGGAACAAATGGATCGAAACGATGGGTCCAGTGATTGCAGTGATGGAGACGAGAGAGAGAATGGCATTTGTTTGGTCTCTGATTCTCCGGCGTTGAGTTTAAACATAAAATTTTTAATCACAGAATTGCAGCACATTTTTGAAATGAAAGCTCATTACTATTGCATACATCAAACGGCACCGACAGTCAGGCATTGGGAGGCATTGAGTGCCAGAGCGGGAGTAGAACTGGAAAAAAGGGAATCTTTAATTCCTGCAAGACTTTAATCCTTCGTAATGAAGATTAAGTTTGTGTGTCTGTTGTATATATGTTTGCGGCAATCAAATTAGGTCTCATCTCTTCCACTAAGCCTTTAGACTGAGTAATGATATTATATTAGAATAGAGTATTCAATACTGTATTCATTTCACAAACACATGAATATATTTACTTTTGGGAATTTAAAACTTTTCCAATGCTTTACATTTTTAGTTATGTTATACTCTATTCGAGTTATACATAAACTTTTATGCAAATCAATTGCAACACTCCATCATAAATGCATTTAATCTCATATTTTTCAACGTTAATGATTAATCAAGTTTTGCAACAAAACCTCTCATTTCGGCATCAAATATATACACCTCTTCTCCAAAACCTAAACCTATTAGTAGTGCTGAGAATAGGCTTCACTTAACATTACTTCACATTAATAAATGAAATATTATTTCAAATAAATAATTTGTTAAAAGAGTTAAATTAAAAACAAAATAATTTGTTTTTAATAAATAATTATATGTTTAAATCGGGCGCCGCAGCTGTTCCCTCCCAGTCCGGTCCCGTTCTCCCGAATTGGGTTAATCCTCATTAGCTGATGGATTAGTAGATTGGACTCAATCTTATAGACATTCTCATTGGGTTTAGGTTTACGACAATTTCTTAGATATTGAAAAATATTGAAGAATCACTAAATGAAACAAAAATGGTTTTGTGATTCAGTTGTTGAATGTTTTGTCAATTTATTTTCGATGACTGCCCTAAAAAATATCGTATGATTACATAATTAGTCCCCCATTTCCTGTCTTTTGTTTAACATAAAGTTTAATCCTTTTGTATTTTGCCGATTGTATACACTTATAGATTACATATTATAACGTAACCAAACTTTATATTCATAAAAATAATCTATTTCTTAAATAAAATTCTACTTAAAAACAAATCTATAATAACACAAATGCTATAATACGAGAGAGAGAGAATCGGCCAATTGATGTCCAGACCCACTGTCGCCTCCTATTACGACCCGATCGACAAAAGGGCGCGCTTTGTATTCGCCGACNAGAGAGAGAGAGAGAGAGAGAGAGAGAGAGAGAGAGAGACCGAATTCTTGGTGTCGCCTAACAAAACATGAATTGGCAAATAAATAATAAATAAAAATTAATGTGAATTATGTTTGAAAACAATATATTCTGATTAACACTAAACAAGAATTAAGTGCAAGAAAATCGATTCAATGCTTGTGTTAATTGAAACAAAATCATTAGCGAATCAATTGCTATAAATTAACGCAATTTCTTGTCGTCTCTTGTATTGAATGAACTCTCAAATTATAAATCGAGAGACAAAACAAACGCTAAATATTAGTGACGTTAATATAGAGATGAATAGAAATGTTAAATAGATATGAATAGATAGAGAGAAAGTAAGCGATGGGTAAAGTGATGACAAACCTGATCGATAGGACAGCCAGAGTTGGTGAGGAGGCTGTAAGAGTTGGCCAGTAATACTTGAAGCAATTTGTCCTTTAACTCATGAGCCGCGTTCATACGTGGCCTATTAGAAGTGAGCATCTATTAAGTCTATACAACATTGCAAGTGTATGTGCTTTTTGTTGGGATATCACATCTACTTATCATACTTGTTAGCGCTAATTATTACATCACGAGGTTTTATGTGTAATAAAACTAATCAATTATTATTTAAAAAGTCAATTTCGTGTTTAATCTTCAACTTAAATGTGAATAAATTGTGTTTTAAAAACGTGTGTAAAGCGAAACTTTTGCTCTCAATAATTGTAATTCAAATAAAATAAAAAAGTTGTCAATAAATAAGACTCATATAAACAACGGCTTATTTATATGCTGTTTATTAACATAAAATAATAGGGTTTTTGTTTTCAAACAATAATGTTGTGAATGAAATGTTGTAATACCTGTAGAGTCGGATACGAAGCGTAGCCACAGACAAGATATCACCCAATATTTCGCCGACTGTTGCATCGGTGTTATCACTGATCTGATCCAACGTTAAAGGTTTCCAGTTTTTCAGCTGAATTACACCTATTTATGTGAAATAATCAATAATACGATACATTATTAGGGCATATAATATATATTATACAACACATAATACCAAATATATATAAGTGTGTTCTCGTGTATTGAATTTATAGCTTAAAGACTTTATAACGACATAAACTTATATTTAAAAACCTATCGTTAATATAATTTGTAAAAGTAATTGTTATAAGTTATAACTTATAACAAATGCAAAACAAGGATCAATGTTGACATAGTATGCGGTGGTTATAATTGCTCATTAATTAATTAAACACCTAATGTGTATCATATGTGAGCTAACGATCGTTTAATAACTGGTTTGTGACAAAATTATATACTCTTTGTTATCTATGAAAACAGTAAAAACAGTGTATATTATATTATGTAATGTTTAATATTATGTGCTATTCTATGCGTTCGTATATTCCCTTCAATTAGTTTAAGATTACAACCAATAGAGAGAAGAAAATGCAAAATAAATAAAATATAGAAACAGATAATAAAAATGCAAATAAAGTTTTAAAAATATAATACAAGAATAAAAGTACAGAATAAGAGACTGTATTTTAATTTAGAGATAAGAGAATAAAAATATATTCATAACAAAAAAAAGTAGATTTTCTTTGAATTCTGCAGAAAATGTGAGCAAAACCTATAGAAGAATTTATTTGTATTTCAAATTACTATAAAAATAAGGAATTAAGTTTGATATGCGAGAGAATGAGAGTGAGTGAGTGAGTGTGTGAGAGGGAGGGAGAGAGAGGGAGAGAGTAAGAAAGGGAGAAATGAGCTTTTTGTGCATTAAATTTGACGGCTTTTAGCCTTTTTTGCATACATGCAGACACACTGCACACTCACTCACATCACACACACATAGCGTACAAGTTTTAAGAGAGAAAGTATTTACAGTACGTCTTGTCTTGTATTGCTTTGCATTGCATTAGTCGGTAGTGAAGCCTAAGCTCTGAGTCCTCACTCCTTCTCTACGATAAGGTTAAAGCCTATGCTTAAGAAGACTTCCTTCTGATGGCTCATTACTTGAGGCCCAATACTATATACAATGAAATGAAATGCAAATTCTATGACAATACCATTTCTGATGCACTTTTATATAAATAAAATAAAATAATTCTCTTTATATATAACTGTATGACTGGAAAAAGGGATACAAGAATTAAAGGGAATTTCGTTTTTATTTTTTCATAAATATATGTATTATAGAGATTTTAAATCTCAATATTTATAATGGAGTATAACTTGACTTTACTTTACTGGAAGACTGGATCAGTCCTTCTCTTATGCCATAAGTTTCTCTATTCAAAAAAACTTTTATACTATTCTTATGCATTCACTTTTGTTAACTAAGTTTAAGGCAACGACTCATTTGTGCGAAAAACCTATTTTAATGTCGATTTTGGGCTTTACTTCTTATAATTCACTCAAAAAATGTTTAAAGCTTTCAAAATATGCGTAGGAATTGGAGAGAGAGAGAGAGAGAGAGAGAGAGAATAATGAGTAAAACTATGATACTGTATACTGCATTGAAAAGTATGTTTGAAAAAGTTGTCCAAATTTAATGAGAATTTTTATAAATAGAAATAAAGTTACGTTAAAATCATTGAAGAATTGGTGGAAAAATGAGAGACAAAGAGAAAGAAA